CTGCGGCTTCTGTTGGCGTGCCTTGGGGGGTAACTTCTGTCGCGGCGGACAAGCGCGATAACTCGGAGCAGGTGGAGTAGGCGACCAACACCCCATCTGCATACCGGAGTCCCCAAATCCGTAAGAGAGGTCCGTGTTGACAACTCGTGTCCGCAACTCCTGGGCTCGCTGATCTGTGTTCTTTTTTTCCTCCTAAGGCAGCCAGCAGTTGAAGGCAGTTGAAAAGTTATAATAACGGACTTCAGTGAGGGCACTGCTGGCAGTGTCAGAACAAAACCAGACAAGCGAATGGAGCATGTGGTCCATGATGTAATTAGTTACACTATGAGAGATAAAACTCGGAACCTGCCAGTGATCACGGCAAAAGTCCCTTACGAAAGAAAGGAAACGCGAAATCACTCTTCACCAAAGTTCAACTCGGAAAACGCAAACCCTTAACGACGCAAATAGACGTCTTTTCACATACAGCTTTACTTACGAGCTAGATGTCCTCTCCCGAAAATCAACCGACATTTAGCCTTGGCTTGTTAGCTTGTACCGCCTGACTGAACGGTATTAACTTGCCTGTTTCCGCTTTGTTTAACGGTAATTGTTGAACAGTACGTCACTCATAGTTACCGCTTCATTCTTAAAAAGCTAACATACATCGCCTCTAGTTGAAGCCTTTTCGATAAGTCACACCTTAAACCTATTTCTTCTCCCGAACTTCACCCTTTGTTCGAGCTCGCCTTATAGGTTGAACCACTTACCTTAACGGTTTCGTTTGGGTAAGCTTGTTTATTTTCTCCCCATTCCGACTTTTGTGTAGAATGGCGGCTCCGTCAATTTGTCTGGTTGGAGGTTTCCATGTTTTTTTAGGTGATCGACATGAAAACGTTCGCAAAAGGGACTTGTTTGTCAAATTATTCAGAGGCTAGCAATTGGATCACCAGTTGTCTCGAGTGTGTGTTCGGCCTACCTACCGTGTTGCGTGAGAACATTAACCAATGGCGAAAAATGACGATATGGACTACGTTCGTAATCTAATGGTAGTTTCGACGCACAGTGAATAAACTTCATCCTGCCACCAGTGAACCAAATTTTGAAAATATCACGATTCCAAGGAAAGGATGGCCTGTTTGATTTGATTAACCGATTTTTAGAAAATGTACCGGTGTTTCCCACCTAGGTAGGACATAGAGATATGAAACTCGCCGAACCCAATAATACAGGTTGTCTTTAGCAAACTTTCTGGGTCATAACCCTAAAAACAACCCACAGGGTAACGTTAACCTTACAAAAACCCTAGTTTTACAACTGACCCTAATCTTCCTGGAAATTAATTTGACATCATTGAAATAGGAAGGTTAAAATGTCTGTGTCTTATCTCCTCTTTGCAGTCTTTAAGTGAGCTATTGTTGCTTCTGGTTGAATACTAGTCTATTGGGTGCCAAACATTGAAAGTTGGTGACTGCCACTGTAACGAGTCGGATTTAAATATCTACATACAGGCCTCATTTGCACATTTCTCCCAATCTACTTCTAAATGAAAAGGGTAAGTTTGGGATCAGAAATCACGATAAAAAGAAACTTGTATAGGACAATGGGAGAACACAGTGTCCCTCAAACTTTCTCGAGCGGACGCATAGCTACGGCTCAATTTCCTAGAAGTCTACGTTCAAAAATAGTTATGCCTTCGAATAAGTCTAAACAAATTTTCCAAACCCTGACCCGACACCTTACACTTAACCCATCTTCACGCTTGCGTCTGATTCTGGTGAAATAATAACTAATCCGATGTGCTTTATGATTAAAATTGTAATAATAATTGTGTTACCTACTCCCCGCTTAGACTTTGGACTTGCAAAGTAATTAATGATATCAATTAGTTTGCTTTTAAACGCACAAAAACGGGTTGCATTTCTCATTCATTAGAAAAGCCGATACTTTAACATGTCGTAAACGCCTTGAGCTCCTTTTATTGGAAATATATAGAATAAAATAGGTGAGTTTTAGACACAAGGATTAGAGACACTGATAAGACTTTTGCCCCATGTTATTTATCATTAGCCAAATAAACCCCTTATCAGACAGTAGGGATGATGAAAGTCACTCCTTTTTGATACTGCGTCTCCTACTCGACAAAAACTAACAGGCTAAGTGGACTTAAATGCTGTGCCCTCCAGAGGTTCTCCTAAGCTTCGTCAGTAACCCTTCTCAGTACCTGATAGTCGTCGCTGAACGACTGCCCTAATGGCCTCCAAACCGTAAGCCCAAAGGCTCAACAGATATTTAGATTTTATTTCACTAACGAAATGTATCAGCGGATATTTCTTTGATTGACAAAGGTTATCACCACGAAGGAATTTTTATTCTGACTGAAGACAAAACAAAGCAGGGTCAAGACTTTGCCCTTTCTTTAAAACTGCCGCCCGACTCTCTGGATTCTGATAAGAAACATATGCGATTGCTGGAATAAAAACTTTCCTTGTCTGACGTTTCGGATTCCGTCGCGGATCCATCATCCGAAAGAGTAGCAGAAACGGATAATTCATACAAGAGAAAGAAAAATCTCTTCATAAGACTGCCTTTTATGGGCGACGCAGCAAGTGAATTAGTAGGACGACGCCTGAGGACAGCAATCACGAGTCCCTTCCCGGTGGCAAACTTACGCGTATTCTTCACTAACTCTCCCCTTCTACGAATGGGAGGCAACGGCAGACTACCGTTACAGGCCACATCGATGTGCGTCTATTCGTTCACCTGCTCCTGTGGAGCGGGATATTGGCCAAACGACGCGACGTCTGAAGAAGAGAATACGCGAGCACATACCACCCTGGCTCAGCAAAGGAGAGAACAGGTCGATATCAAGCTCAATCCTCGCCCACCGAATTGATACGAACCACCTAGTAGATGCGGGAGAAGCCTTTCGGGTCATATACCGCACACTGGCACATTCCTCCAGAGGCCTGCGCAAACGGGTGTTAGCCACAACATAGACAATGGCCATACGGTGAGCAAAACACAATCTATGCTGTCAAAGGACGCTGGTACGAGCAATCTGCCTCTCTTGGCCGACTGCACGTGGAAATCCCACACCTCTTGAAACAACTTCGTCCGAAAACACACAAAACGAAGCTACAGAGAAAAGCCAAGCAGAAGCTACTCGGCTGGAATACAGACCTCTACCCGCTGACCGTGAGAACATCCCCCGGTCTCTCTGCGCATCGCAACCAAGTCCTACACGCGCTGGTGCCCGCATTCACAAGACGAGGGAAAACCCAAAGGCTTAGTTACATCCACCCACCTAACAACCCCATTTCTTCTACCCCACAACCTGACGATCATATAAACGCTGCAATTAACTGACCATTTTTATTCTCCATGTCACTGTACCGGCCTGATGATGAATGAATGAAAACAATTGTTTGCCAATTGTTTTTAGTCGTAAAATAGGAATTTTCGCAGAATCATACACAAGAGTTGCAGTATTTACGGAATATAGTCACGATGCTACTGCATACCTGTGACAGTTAACGGCTACCCCCTTCCGAGGATAGTTGCCCGCCCGTGCGCTAATTGTTTGGTGGCTGGCGTGCGGCTCGGGACCTCCTGAACTTTCATCACCTGTGATGAACTTGGGCTTGATGACTTCTCGACCATCTGACTCACTGGCGCTGGTGTTAGAAGAATTGTTCGCCTGTGCGCTCCCCGAGTGGCGAATTGCTTTGGCTAAAGTGAACTTCAGCACCGAATATAGTTTTGGCAGTTAGTTGCACTTTTTGATAGACTGGGGGCCCCTAACCCATGATTCAAGAAACTCACGGCTCACATGGTTGTCACCTTTCACGAGAATTTGGGCCCCCTCACATTTTAAGGTGTGGCCGGGTCTCGTCGAAAAGTTCAGAGTTCCTCTAATGTCTCCAAAAGTAAGAGCTACCATCCACATCCCGTTTATATATACTAAGGATGATAAAACTTCATTGCTTGCTACAAAAAAAATGAATAAAACTAAGATGTCTGTCGGGTTAGCTGAAGTCCCTATCAGCGAAAAGTAACAAACAGTTTATTTTACCGAGAAGAAAATAACCAGATCCGCTTTCCAAATGGGTTTGCAAGGCCAGATACTTGTTACGGATAGCTTATATGACCCATTCAGTAGGAGCAGGAACCGACTGTAACATAGGTGGATGTGCGCTAAATACCAGGGAAATTGGGGTTATAGTTGAGACTAAGATGGGCGTTAAGACTAAGATAAACGTTAGACCTTGGCTTAGGACTAAGGTGCAGTTGGGAGTACGCTTAGGATTAGGGTTCCGGTGAAAAGTTGAGAAAGGGTTAATTTTAGCATAAGGATACGGTCATGTTAAGCTTTCCCGGAATTTAGCGTGAGGCCAATTTTATTAGGGGAGTGTTCCTATGCCCTTATCCTGCCGAGAAAGGGGCATATAAGCTATTTCAGCGGATATGTTTCAAGGCAAACTTTATGATAAAAGCATGCATATGCATTTTAACTGCAAGATACAGCTCTTTTGCCGCCATTACACACTGTATTATACAGTATCGGCTGAATATAACGTGCTTTGGAAAACAGTGCAATGACCAAGCCACCGTTATTAAGGCCATCTGACAAAATCCACTCCGTCTTCAGAAAAAGAGCATTCACTGAAAAACCATACAAATTAAGTCATAAACCCTGAACGTCCAAGAAATAAGCTCATATCCCGAATGACGGTTTAATAAATGAGCTTTCTGCGACAAGTACTTGTGGTTCGTCGACCCTCCTTGTAGAACGTTTGTTTTACCGATTATAACCGAAGCGGTTTCGGCACAATAAGGGTTCGTTCGGTATCGTAATATCAGAAGTTGGATTAACATCTTGTTGGAAAAACATAGTGAAATAAGTATCTGCCTTATCACGGACTGTCTATCATTGTAATATTAGATCAAAAGGTATATACATCTATAACATAGTATCAGCCTCAATGCGCAAGGGAAACAAGCGCAATAAGAGTACCTGTATAAGTTGAATTTCCCCGTTAATGACGTCCAGTTGTTGCTGAATGAGTGCAGCCAGAGCCTGTGGGTCGGTGTGTTCCATGGTGGACTGAGGGTCCTTGGGATTGGAGTGGTAGGCTGTAGAGCTGATTGCAGGCATCTGACCGAAGACCGACCAGGGACGGTGCAGGTTTTGGTACTCCAGTTGTGCCTCAGCTTCTCGGCCATGCTGCTTCTCCTTCATGTACTGACTTGGTCCCGTCAGAACACCCATATCCGGTACCTGTAACCCAGAAAATGCCTATAATAAAGAGACCGAACAGTCGTTAGTCAAGTTACCTTATCTTAAAATACCCAAAAGGCAGTCTGTCACGGGAATAAGCTGCGAAACTCAATCGAAGGATGTAGTTCTGAAGGGAGATTTGGCTAAATGAAAGCACATAAAAGCACGCGAACAGTACATTCGTAAACAGACCTAGTATATCCATGAAAGTGGATCATCCTGACTTCCGCGTGACACTAACGGCCCTTGCTTGCCATACCGTTTCGGCTCATCTACTAAGTACATATACGTGAAATTTGGCGAATGTTCGTACGATAGACAAGTAATTTCCTTTAGAAACGAATAGGCAGGAGACAGGTGTCTGTTGAACTTCACACCACTGAAGTCGAGAAGCTTGTTCTAGTACACGCACTGTATCCCCAAAAGGTAAAAGGAAGCACAACTTGAAAACTTGGTCCAGAAGACTGCAACGTCGATTTCGGTTACTATCTCATAGACCTCTAAATGGTTTAAGTGGCTTTATATGGACGAGACACCAAATAGGGATAAACAGGCGAAAACGAAAATATTGAGGTGTACGTTCGAGTATGTTCTGCATTAACGTCTTGACAATGGCTGGCCGAAACTTCAGAAACACACCCAATGTGTTTCGATGAATTCTGCCTCCTTCTTAAAGATGGTAAACTAACCTAAAGATTCAAGAGCGAATTTTACTGGCTACGCCTCGAATTCTTAAAAGATTAAGAAATGACTGAAATTATGATTAGATATCCGAAGGAAGTTTCCGGATGAGCAAACTGTGGGACAATTTCTTCAAAAAATATCGTAGAGTTGTATGCGTTCTTCTGCATATATTCATTTAGATATTCACCTAACGCCTATACTGCATCTAGTATCCAACTACAAAAACTGACTGGCATCCTAACTCGGATAGGTCCGAAATATTTGGCTGTTAACTTGCCTAGAGTCCTAAAAAAGGCTAAGGCCACCTGCATCAGACTCTAGATAAACCTCTGGCAACAGGAGCGCAGTTTAAGCGTAACGGTGAGTTTCACGATGAACTAAACCTTTGCTGGAGGAGAGAAAATTATTAAAAATCCTCAGTCCCAGCGGACTGTCTCAGGCCCCGGACGAGAAAAATTATCCCCAAATTCGTAGAATCGAATAATTAAGCTAAAGGGTGCAGAGGTTCTCAAAAAGTCTGAGTTCACTTCATTGACAAACGCTCACCCCAGGCAATACTGGTAGCGGTAAATCGCACAGTGTTTAAGGTACTTTACTGCCCCTGCCCTACCCACGCTGTTTTTTGGAGTTGCAAACAATTAGGGTCTGATGTTCATAGGCTAGCTCCTGTGGTCTTTCAAATCAGAGGTAAACTCTACTTCAGAAAACACACAATCATCCTTTATTCCTCCATCGCAAACAGGATCTCCAAGAATCGAGAACATAAGAATTTGCATAATCACCAAACATTATCGTCTAGCCCGTGGTAGGCGTCTTCGATAACACAAACCTGAAATTTAATTTTAAAACTTGACTAGCCTGATTAAATTTTTGATAAATATTAATTTTCGGAGGAAAAATTCAGGACTTTGAGATGTGCTTTTGCTAGTCAAATGTTTGATCAAATGACAAGTACATCATAGAAAACCGGCTGCGCCGAGTGTATTTCAATGACACTTTTATCTCACACTATCAGTGGGTGCAGCCGTCATGTCGTTCGTAATTTCGTTTTGTACGGAACAAAACAGAGAGGGTGGAGAGAACCCTAGGGGATCTTATCAAGTCATTCTGTTTTATGAAGACTCAGAAATTATATGATTCAGCATCCGGCCTTCTATTCCTCCAGCATTAGTTCTAGCAGACACGCTGCGAGAAACGAAAACCTTCTGCCAGCGCAAGGCAAGAAAACTTAGTCAACAACCTGTTCGATCTTGTCTTCATCATTTTCAGTCAGATAGACTCCATCGAAAATAAACCCTAGTCTATTCCATGCGATCTATATATTATCATGAAATTTTACGAGCATTTATCTGGTGTCCACTTCTGTAAGGTTTGGCGTACACCAATCAGTTCGATCTTCCAGAACAAACACAATCTGATGCCTGTTGGTATGCTCCATTTATGGCATGCTCACACAACGTATTGCGCTAAACTAACAAAGAGGTCAAGGACTAAGGCCTGTTTGCAATGGAAATGCCAAAATAGTACACCTGTGAAACCCCCAAACCACCTTGTCTGCACGTCTTTGCTGGCGATTAAGTTAGTTCGCCTCACACAGCCAGTAACAATATATTCCTCGGCAGTTCCGCCACTGAACAGTCCCTTGAAGAACTGATGCAAGCATCTTTCTTTCTGGTCAGAATTAGACGTTAGCTCAATACCTAAAGTATACTACTGTAATTATTGCACAGCATGCCACAGGTATGCGGTAAACAATTGACTAAACGCTGTACAACTTGAATGACAGAAGAACGCAAGGCAATCACGTAGGCGCGTGTGACCCGACCCTCAGGCGAGAGTCGCGTGCGGCTTCCTCCTACCGACCGTCCGTTTCGACTAGGCCTACCCCGTGTGCTCCGCGGAGGGGTGGAGCAGGGACGGTGACTTACGCGTGAATTTTGAGGGATATTAAACTTTCTTTGCATCTATCGCACTCGCTCTCTCCCGCTTCCCTCACCCACCCGAGCTCGGCGACA